TTCAACAAATAGCACCACGGCAGTCAAAAGCAGTGGTGGTTGGGGCTGGAGAGATGGTCAGTGGTTAAGAGCATTGGCTATTCTTGCAGAAGACCCAGGTTCAATTTACAGCAGCAAATGGCAGCTCACAATTGTCTATAACTATTTCCAGAGTCTCTGATGCCATTTTCTTGCCTCTGTGGACACTTGTGTGTGGTGTACATGCATGCACTCAGGTCCATACACATACACATAAAATAATAAAATATAGCTTAAAAAAAGCCATGGTGGTGAGGTTGAATAACTAATGGCAGCCAGAGGAGAAGAAATAATACTGGATCATGCAGCTGGGAACTGAGATGGTCCTTCAAAATTTAGAAAGTTGGATGGACATAGTGAACATGGTATACCAGAGCTTAACCAAAGAGAGATTGCAGATGAAAAAGTACATGAAAGTGTGAAGGCTTCCATTCAGGGTCACAAGGAGCATGGCAAAGACATTGCCCAGCAAAAGTATAAGGAAACCAAGAGGAAGAGGGAGAAGGTCAGCAGCTGGAAATGATACAAAAATCACGGAACAATGAATTTTTAACAAAATCGTTTGATTTTACCAATAAAGACTCAGGAGCCAAATGTTGGGGTGAAAGCCTGCTAGCTCAGAGGTAGAGAAAGCACCCAGATGTCCTTCCTCCTCCACTGACATCCCAGAAAAAGGACCTTTCTCCTCTTCCATCTCAATCAAGATTCATCAAACTCAATGTCCCTCCCTTCTACTTCCTGTGCATCTCTCTGTCCATCCTCCCGAATCTCTTACTTTCTATGTTTATTTTTTCCCCTGTCAACTGGTTGCTTGCTCAGCTTCTTGATCTCTGGTTGACTTTATTCAATCAGAAATATTCAAGCAGAAAACTCTTAGATTAAAGGTGTGTGCTAGGGCTGAGACACACCACAACTAGAAACAGGTTTTTCCAGTAAATAACACAATCGCGGGGTTCATAGTGTGATCAAATATCCTACAACATTTCCTCCTTTTTGTCTGAAACAAAAGGAAAGGTTTTAATACAGTAAAACTACTTACAATAATGAAGCTATTTCTGCAAAGCTTTCCACAATGTCCAGTTATATTTGGCAGTCTCAGGATTAAGTATTTTTGAGTTCAAAGTTCTGTAAATTGTAAATGTCAGTCTCATATTAACTCAGCAATTTGAGTGTCCTGAGCAGTCTGAAGCTGATCTTTAGGTGGTGTTTTTGAGCTTAGTGGCAATACTAGCTTGGTAGAACACAGCAGTCAACTCGAAGGTGACCAGTGTTTGTGGAGAACATTGGCGGTTGTCTGGTGGGAAGGAGCAGTCAAAGATGGTGGCATGGGTGCCATGCTAGTCTGGGGTTCTGAGCTGGGATTTCAGGCCAGTCAGCTAGAGGTGGGTGATACCACTTGGCCAATTTACTCTTTTTCTTGGGACATTTGTTTTTGATTATCTGTCCTTTTTCTTCAGATGTTTCACTTGTCCAATAGTCTCCAGATTCCTTAGTTGGGTGCTTTTATTCTCCTGCAAAGACAAAAACAAAACCCTGCCCTAACCCTGACTTTGGAGAGTTTCTTTTTTGGCTGTCTTGCCTGTATGAGGTATATAAAATTTGATGACTTTGTTAAGTTTTGCTAGATTATACCATTTCCTTTCATGCCTCCCATTACAATATATCTTTGCCATTTATCTGCCAGTTAGGGTATTGCAGAGTCAGGTGAGTTTGTTGGTGAGTTACTGGAAAAAGATTGGGAGTTAGGCCTGGAGAGACGGTTCAGAGGTTAAGAATACTGGCTGCTCTTTCACAGGTCCTGGGTTCAATTCCCAGCAACCGCATGGTGGCTCACATCCATCTGTAGTGAGATCTGATGCCTTCTCCTGGTATACAGACATACATGCAGATGGAGCACTCGTATACACATAAAATAAATGAATACACCTTTAAAAGCCAGGCAGTGGTTGTGCATGCCTTTAATCCCAGCACTTGGGAAGCAAGGTGGCTCTCTAAGTTCAAGGCCAGCCTGGTCTATAGAGTGAGTTCCAGGACAGCCAGGAGTACACAGAGAAACGTTGTCTTGAAAAACAAAAATCAAAACCAAAGAAAGTTAAAAAAAAAAAAAAAAAAGGCTGGGAGTTGGTAGTGAGATGCCTTGGGGAGTGCAGAGCATTTTCCTGAAGGGGATGGAAAGGAAGGTTTCTTGTAGTTCTTTTAGTTTCTGCTCCAGTTTTGGTCAAACCAACATTCAAGAATCCTCTAATAATAATAATGATGATGATGCCTCAGTGGGCTGCTCCATCTTGTTCACTTAAAGTTGCTCTGCAGTAAATCTATAAATAATAATAATAATAATAACAATAATAGTAATAATGTCCCAGTGGGCTGCTCCATCTTGTTCATTTAAAGTTGCTCTGCAGTAAATATATAAATAATAATAATAGAGATAATAATAATAATAATAATAATAATAATAAATAATGCCTCAGTGGGATGCTCCATCTTGTTTACTTAAGGTTGCTCTACAGTAAATCTATAAATAATAATAATAATAATAATTATAATTATAATAATACCCCAGTGGGCTGCTTCATCTTGTTCACTTAAGGTTGCTCTGCAGTAAATATATAATTTGTTCTCAGGGGCCACTTCTGCCAGCCTTCCCTTGTGATAAAAGGGCTCACAGTGAAAGGGCAGGATGTCTTGGGAGCTAGAAGAGGGCATGGAGGTTGGAGAGAACAGCTCAGGTATGGAGGGTAGCAAGGGAGATGTTTCCAATCTAGACCCTGCGTTATTTCAGGTTGAGCTGAAAAATGAAGGAGCTGAAGTTGGGAAATCTGGCCATTCTGAAGTCTTCAAAAAACCTTAGCTTGTCTTCTTTTCTTCAGTTTAGTCTGTAGAGCACAGGCTGCTCTCCAATGCTTCCCAGGTGAGCTCCCATTTCTGTATAAAGTTTCACAGCTTAGTTCATAGACCTTTTAAACAAGCTAAAAGGTTGGTTTTGAAAGATTTTTCCTCTAATTAGTAACAGATTCCCATTAGCTCAGAGAGCCCAAAAGCCTCTTTGTGGCAAGCATTTATTTATTGTTTGGCATTCATAAAAATAACATGTTTAGCAGATATTGTAAAGTACATAAGAAAGTAAAAATTTCTTGTTTTAAAGATAAGTTACAAATTATAATTCGGCAAAAATTCCTCTAAATATGTGTTCTTGAATGTTACTTGAATTACTTTGCTAGAAGTGGTGATGATTTCAGCTGAGGGTCTTTGCTGTCTCAGGGTCTGGGTTGGATGAGAGCTGCATCTCTAACCCAGGGTTGTCTGGGAGTCATTGCTCATTAGACAATTAGACAGGTATTCTTCAGTATTCTCATTTTCTGATGAATTAATTTGACCAAAGTAATCTTAATTCCAAAATTATCCTGCATACTTTTTCTAACTTCAAAGTCAGCCATCCTCCCATCCTGGGGTTTTTACGACTGCAAATTCTTTAAGGTCTACTTAAGCCTATGATAATACCCGTTTCTCATTCACCTTGCCTCTGTTATGTCTTCCTCACTTTTCTGCAGATCTTGAATCTTACTGCTCTCTTCTTCCTCTTTTTCCTAACTCCTCACTCTTCGAACAATAGGATTGGTTATGCCATGTTCTGAAAATCTTAATCATCTTTCCTTCTTATGTGAAAACAGACTTCAGGTGGGGAACTTTTAAACACTCTAAAAACCAGGGTCATGAGAGGTTATCTGGGCTGGTTAGTATACTTACCTGTGTCCTGTTCAACAGTGTAGAGAGAATACAAAGTGCAGGTTTGATTTAGAGCAGATAAAATAACCAAGAAGTTACAGAGTGAGTGCACAAATCATGCCACACAGACCTGTAGATGGGGAAGTGGGCAGGGAGGGTACTGGAGTAATTAGCCAGAGACAGCAGCAGCACCAATAAAGTGCAGAACCCCAGTCTGGTGAAGCCATAGATTTAGGTTACAGGAGAGGCAGTTTTACATATTAGGTATTTGTTGCAGGACTTTGTTGTTCACTATGGTAGATTGAAATTTTATCTCCTGTGGTGATTGATGCAGGCTTTTGTTCCTGGCACTTGGGAGGCAGAGACCACCCTGGTCTACATAGCAAATTTCAGAGGAACCTGTGGTGAATGAACTTGCTTTTGGGAGAATAGAAATTATAAACATAACCCATGGACATGTCTTTATATTTCACTATCATCTGGGTGAGCTCTCCCATTATAAACATAACCTGTGACCATGTCTTTATATTTCACTATCATCTGGGTGAGCTCTCCCTCCCTCCCTGCTCCCTCCTTCCTTCTTCCTTTCCTAGCATCATTCTCTCTCTCTCTCTCTCTCTCTCTCTCTCTCTCTCTCTCTCTCTCTCTCTCTCTCTCCTCTCTCTGTCCTCCATTATCTTGGATCTGAGCCTTCCTAATGAATACTGTCTAATTTCATCTGGACTACATCACCATGCCACTTTGCTTTCTAAAAGCCCTCAGCCAGGCTTTGAGGCGAACAGGACAGAGTTGTGGATATAGTTTGTGACCAGCAGAGAGGGCATGTTCCATTGCTGGACTCCTCTCTGTCTTATCATGTGTCTTGGATCAATGGTTCTCAATCTTCTTAATGCTGCCACCCTTTAATACAGTTCCTCATGTTGTGGTGACCCCCAACCATACAATTATTTTTGTTGCGACTTCATAACTGTAATTTTGCTACTGTTATGAATCTTAACATAAATATCTGATATGTAGGATATCTGATATGTGACCCCAGTAAAAGGGTTGTTCGATCTCCAAAGGGGACATGACCCACAGGTTGAGAACCACCATTCATGGTGCTCCTTTAAAGATGACTTTCTTTATCATCCTGGGCTACTTAGCTCTGCAGCCTCTTTTTCATCCTCACATGCTGTGACATTTCTTGCCTTAGAATCTAGGCATAGTTTTCTTTCTATCTGGAATAACATCATCTCCCTTTACATTTTCCACAGCTATAGCAGGCCACTCAGCACCACTTCTCCCAGAACTATTTCATACAGTTTTAATTCATCAGCTTCCTGTCAGTGTGCTGCAATTATCTGTTGATGTGTGCATCTATTCCATAAGGCTCCTTAAGGTAATGGCCTTGTTTTATTTGACTGGGAATCCTCAAGGTTTAAAATAATATCCTCTATATACTCAGTATAAGAGTGCTAATGAAAGAAAAGTGGTTAGTCAAGGAGACCCTGGGGGAGACATACAACATACAACTTAAACTGTACCTCTCTATCTCTGAGGATATAGCCCCAGTGCTACACAGGAATAGGAAATGTAATTCCATGTAATATACAGATTTGGCCTATGGCAGAATCATAAACAGCATACAGTTCCCTGAGCCATTTAGTTTTACCTTCCCAGGCAGCTGTTGTAGGGCATTGGTATTAGATAACTTGAATTTCATGTTATAAATGACGCATACTTTTATTACTATTATGAAGTGGCAACAGTTTAGATTTTATGAGAACATGTGTATGGTTCGCTCCTGCTTTCTTCTTAATTGTTCTCCTTTGCTTCTAGCCGTCCTACATATTCTCACTTGGTCAGCATGTGAAGTCCTGCCTGCCATGCAAGGATCACTTCAGCTCTTCAGAAGCACTGTGCTCCATCACACCTCTGCACCCACAAGCTTTTGCATCAGGTCACATTGCCCGGTCCACTGTTATTCAGCTTTCAAAACTTAGCTTAATGTAAGACAGTATCTTATACAACAGTAACTTAAAAGCTACTGTCTTCAGGAAGTTTCCCTGAACTTTATTTCCACACCCTCTGCCCCACAATCCTCTACCCTACAACCCCAGTCTGGGTTTCTTTTCCTTCTATTCCCACAGCTCCTATAATTCCCTCTCACCATAATTTCATACCTTAATTAAAACCTCTAGTCAGCTAAAGAAACTGTACTTTCAGAAGATTATGTTGATAAAATATTCTAAAAATTAGAGACAAAAAGTCTACCCAGTGGGCCATTGTACACACATAGGAATGGAACACAGAGGAAGAAATGATAAGAAATCAAAGAAATTGATGAGACTGAAGTGACTACATGATGAAGACCAGAGAGACTGTTGAGGTAAAGATGACTAGCCTTCACCATGGGATTCCAGCATACCATTCAATTCTTTTGTAGCAGTATTGGCTTTGGTTGTGAAAGGTAAAAGTTTGTTGTCAAGGAACACACATGGTGGTCACTACACAAAGTTTTGGTTTTTATTGAAAATTTGAATATGGTTAAGCTCTCCTAGGCCATTAGGAATATGCTACATCAAAGGGCATGGGAAGGAAGAGTAATAACTAAAAGGGAAATAAGGTGGTAATAACTAAAAGGGAAAGATGAAGACAAGTTTAATCCATCCTCATTTTGTACTCTCTGTTATCTTGTTTTAGCCTTGTCAATCTTAGAATTGCAACAGACAACAGAGACACACTAAAATTTCTCTAGTTTCTGTCAAGCCAACTAGAAAACTGAATGATCCCATGGAAAGCATCTCCACAGGAAACCAAACTGTCACTGAATTTATACTTCTTGGCTTCCATGAAGTCCCTGGGCTATACCTCCCATTCTTTTCTGTTCTCACCATCGTCTACGCCTCCATCATCACAGGGAACATGCTCATTGTAGTGGTGGTGGTCAGCTCCCAGAAGCTTCACACACCTATGTATTTCTTTCTGGTGAACCTGTCCTTCATTGAGATCCTCTATACCTCCACAGTGGTGCCCAAAATGTTGGAGGGCTTCCTACAGGAGTCTGCAATCTCTGTGGCTGGCTGCTTGCTCCAGTTCTTCATCTTTGGCTCTCTGGCTACAGATGAGTGTTTTCTTCTGGCTGTGATGGCATATGATCGCTACCTAGCAATCTGTCACCCGCTAAGATACCCACTCCTGATGGGGCCTCAGTGGTGTCTGGGGTTGGTGCTCACAGTCTGGCTGTCTGGATTCATGGTGGATGGACTAGTTGTTGCTTTGATGGCCCAGCTGAGGTTCTGTGGCCCCAACCAAATTGACCACTTTTACTGTGATTTCTCACCCTTGATGGTCCTGGCCTGCTCAGACACCAGAGTGGCCCAGGTGACCACATTTGTTCTCTCTGTCGTCTTCCTGACGATCCCCTTTGGGCTGGTTCTGGTTTCCTATGCTCAGATTGTGGTGACTGTGTTGAGAGTTCCCGCTGGTGCCAGAAGAACAAAAGCTTTCTCTACATGCTCCTCTCACCTGGCTGTGGTGTCCACATTCTATGGAACACTCATGGTCTTGTACATTGCACCCTCTGCTGTCCACTCCCAGCTCCTCACCAAGGTTGTTGCCCTGCTCTACACAGTGGTCACTCCCATCTTCAACCCCGTCATCTATACCTTGAGGAACCAGGAGGTACATCAGGCACTAAGAAGGCTTCTCTACTGCAAAGCAACTGAAATGTGACCTAAGGAGAGCAGTGAAGATTTTCTATTGGATGTTCAGGGTCTTGCTTGAAAAGTCTCCCATAATGGGCTGGGGAGGAACACTTTGTTATTTCTCCAAATTTCCCTTTAAGTCTTCTGAATTATTCCCAAGGGGAAGGTAAGAGTTCAAAATTTTCAAATATTAGTGTGGTGGTTTGAATGAGAGTGGCCCCCATAGGTTCATAAATTTGAATGCTTGGTCATCAGGGAGTGGCACTATTTGAAAGGATTAGGTGGTGCGGCCTTGTTGGAGGATGTGTGTCACTGGTGTGTGTGTGTGTGTGTCAGGGGGTGTTGGACTTTGACTTTTTGAGAGCCCAAGCTAGTCCCAGTGGCTTTTTCTTTTCCTGCTGCCCATAGACCTGGTTTTAGAACTCTCAGCTACTTCTCCAGCACCATGTCCATCTGTGTGCTGCCATAATGGACTAAATCTCTGAAACCGTAAGCAAGCCCCAATTAAACGCTTTCTTTTATAAGAATTGCTGGAGTCATGGTGTCTCTTCACAGAAATAGAACACTGACTAAGACAATTAGTTTAAATGATTATGTAAACTAATATGAGATTTTTTAAAATGAATACACCATAAATAGTGCACTGTTTTGATCATCAAACAGGGCAGACATGTACTGAATTGTTACTTTCTAGTCCATTGCTGTATGTAGTGCTACTACTACTGATTAATGAAAGTAAAATTAAAGAAAGAAAATATCAATACTGAAACAAATTTAGAATTAATTCTCATTTATATTACTGTAGTATGACTTTTAAAGCATTCTTTATTTTTGGATGTGTGTATCTACAACTTGTATAATAGAATTTGCAATCTGTTCTCCCACTAAACAAATCATGAACAAATCCTATGTTAACTATTGTCCACTTCTTTACTCTTTTTAGCTTCTTTATATGGCTAAACATAACTGAATAGTTTAAATAACCTTTTGTTGTTAGGAATGTTTAGCTATACTCAGCTTTTAGAAGCCACCTCAACTTTTATACATTTATGTTTTTCTATAATATAATTTCAGAACGTAAGTTGCTAGGCCTAATGATATGTGCATTTACAAATATTAAAGTTGATTTTATTCTACTTATTTACTTTGTGACTTTATTATAGAAACATACACAAAAATAGAGTACAGTGTAGTGATAGTGAATGCATACTTGCTAGAAACTTTTAGGGCAAATTCCAGAGGTTGGCTAAAGATTGTGCTGTTCACAAATTGTGTATATATTTCACATACAAATTTTCATTATACTTTCCTATTTATAGAGACAGTTTTTTCACTAGGCTCCAGCGGATAGTTCTATGTCCATGACCATACAGACCTTCTTGATTAAAGGCTCCAATGGATGGACCCATTCCCATGGTCATACAGACCACCTTGGTTAAAGTCTCCAATGGATAGCCTGTGCCCACAGTCATAAAGGCTGCCTTGGTTAAACTCAGTGGGTTTCAAAACAAAACCAGAAGATATGAATGTGGGAAGTGGACTTGTAGGATGGAGAAGAGGTTAATGGGGTTGGGAAAGAGATTAGGAGGATAAGAAATCAGAGTAACTAGAATACATTATACACATACATGAAATGTCAAAGAACAAATTTTATTTGTAATATGATTTAAAATGTAAAGAAAAGATACACATAAAGAACAACAATAAAAAGATAGTTTTTAAAAGCATGCCCACTAGGGGCTTAAAAAATAGTTCAGCAAAACAGTTACCTTGTAAGCACAGAGATTGGCGTTCAATCCTCCAGAGCCTACCTAGAAAAATCCACCCGCGGTGGTGGTGCTCTTGTACTCACAGCAATGGGAGACAGAGACAGACAGACTCTCGGGGCTTGCTGGTCAACCATCCCATCTTATTTGACAAGTTCCAGGACAGTGAGAGATCCTGCTCAAAAGATAAGAGAAGGACTTGATGTTTTTCCATCAGCACAGTGGCTGCACCTGAATCTACTGATGCTTCGGCCAGTAATTGTGGCCCCACAGTCACTGGCCCACTTGTCAGGCAGTGGCCAGGCAAGACTTTCATGTCCCACCAGTCTGCCTCCTGCCACTGCCATTAAACGTAGTTTTTAATTAAATCTCTATTGCTCTATTTACCAATGAGAATTGGGAGTCAGAGGCTTGGGTGAAAACCTGCTAGCTCAGAGAGGTTGAGTAGCAACTAGATGACCTTATCTCTTTGCCAGCATCTCCAAAAGAGAGTGTCCTTTCACTCTGCCAAACCAAAAAAGACCGCTGCACTCAAAGTCTCTCCCTACTAATACTTCCTATGTATCTCTCTATCTGTATTTCTAGCTCCTCTGGACTCTCTATGGCTAATTTCAGTCAACTAGTTGCTGGTTCTGCCCCCTGATCCAAGATTAATTTTGTTAACACATTCCCAGGGTTTCACAGTGTGATCAAATATCCTGCAACAGAGGACAATGCCTGAGATATGATAACATGATTCTATGGGTTGTCCTTTGGCTTACATATACTCACACATATATAGGCATATGTGTCTGAGTATCTATGAAAACACACACACACACACACACACACACACACACACACACACACACACACACACACACAAACACACTCACACATTGGGGTGTCTCTCCAATGCTTTTGGATTGGCAGAATTAATATTGGGGAACTGGCTGCATTATTGAAATCATTGGAAGTCTCCATTCAAATCTTAATGTCATTCTTCACCAAATCAGGAAAAAATAATACTAACATTCGTAGGGAGACACTGAAGTCCATGAATAGCCAAAGCAGAAGGAAAAATGCTTAAAGTGGGCTCTGCCTTAGGGAACAGTTGCAGTCTCAGAGGGTGGGTGGGAATTGCGGGGTGTGGGGATGTGGGCTGGTTTGGGAAGGAGCGCTGCGGGGTGGAAGGAGGGAGGAGGGGGGATCTGTGGGTGGTATGTAGAGTGAGTAGAAAATTTCTTAAAGAAAAATGAAAAAAAAAAAGAAAAGAAGAGCAGAGAGTAAGGAAATTATAAAATGCTATTTCATAAACAGGCTGTGTGTGGGTAAAGGGGAAATTACATTTAAAATTTTTGTGTGCAACACCTACTGCAGCGTAGGCACCTATGAAGGGGCCAAAGAGATGTGGGTGCTATTATTATTGTGCTTTTTATTATTGTTTTTACTATACAGGTGGATTTATGAATTACAAAGACTTTCCAGTAGCTGTGTAACTCACCCAGACTGCTCAGAAGGCTTACAATTGACCTTGTGGCCCACAGACAAACTAAGTCCTATGAAGAAGCTCTGTCTGTATTAAAGATCCCACAGATTGTTTGACCCTGGCTGCATAGAATATCATGATGGTGGAGAGTTGACATTCTGTAGATTACATATCATAATCATCTTGGGCCACATTGTGGCCAGTTACCTTTGTTTTTGTATTTCACGGACATTATTGTAACTAATAGATAAACTCTCCAGACAGGGATCACAGAGCTTAGCAGTTGTCTCTTCTCTACCAACACAAAGCTAAGCCATGTTTTAACATCTGGCACCTTTAGGACAAATGTTCCCATTTGGCTGTAACCCTGATGATCCACCAGCGTAACTGGGAAGCATAATGATTTACTGCTTCCTTGGCTCTGTGACTATGCAGATTCATCTAACACTTTCCACAGTGAAGTACGTCCTTCAGTGCGGTGTGGATCTGTGTTCCTGGGTCACTCTTGATTGGCCTTGAATAAGTGATTTTCTTATTTCTTTTAGTAGAGTATTTTATATTGGCACATGTGGGGAAAATGTAATATTCACTGGAGTTACAGATGGTTGTGAGACATGGTGTAAGTGCTGGAAATCAAACCTTGGTATTCTGGAAGAGCATCCAGTACTCATAACTTGAGCCATCTCTCCAGCCCCAGATGTGAATTTCTTATTATTTTCTTCTACAGTATGTGACTGTCGCCTTATGTGGGACTGAACCATACAAGATGTTTTTGCATTTTGTCTTCAATATGGTTATTTCAAGAGCATTATCTTCCTTCTGACATTGACCCATATCTTGTCTCCAGTCACCTCTTCTGTTCCAGCAGAGGCAGGACAGGGACGTCTTCATCCCCAACTGAACTTTAGGCACCACTGAGATGCAACTTCTTATTTTTTTGCTGAAAACAATGGTATAGATGTTAGTTTGTGCTTCAATTTCTAGATGCAATGTGTGGTTTGTGGGTTCTTTAAGGGAGATTATCCACAAAGTCTGACAGAGATAATTAAACCTGAAAACGTCCAGGATCCATGTATTTGATGTTACCTCTTGTAAGGGTAGGGCAGAGCACTGGAGAAGTCAAGTATGGCTGGGCTTGCTCAGTGCTCTGTCTTTCATGAACTTTGATGTAGTCATCCTTAACTAGGTCATCTTCACCAACTCTGTCCTTGTTCCTTGGTAGAAGGTTGTTCCACCAGGACCTGTGATCACAAGGACTCAAATATAACCGGGTCTGGTCCTGTCTGCTCCAGGGACAGCTCTCAGCCTCTTCTCAGGCATCATCTTTGTTTTCACGTTGTGTTTCTGTAGAAGACACACCTGTTCTAGTTCTTTCCTGTGAGTTTTGATCCTGTTCTTTTCTGAGTGTCCTATCAATCATTGTTCTCACAAGCCCAGGGCAGCCTCTGCAGGGAGGAAGCGTCCATGTTAAACGATGGGTTTTTAAGACTTGGCTGTCTCTTCTTGCCTTCCTTCATGGATGTTTCTTGGATTGTCTTTTGTGTTATTGTAACCTTGCTTGCTGCAAGCTGCAGGAAAATATAATGGAATTCAGCTTCTATCACAAAAGATACTACTTAGAAAAGTCAACTACTTCTCCAAAGGTCAAGCCATGGCTTAAGAAGTCTTGGTGATATTTTAGCTTTTGTATATATATATATATATATTAGCTGGTTCCTGAAATGATTTTCTTGTGTGCTTCCAAGAACTCCTAACAGTGTATTTATCTAAAATACCTATCAAGGATCCAAGGCCAAATGTTCTCCTGAACTAAGGGTAATACGCTTATGGAAACAATACCTGTCTCCTAGGCCAGGTGGACCTTAAGTAATAGCTTCACACAATTTAACTGAGACCCTCCTTTTCTATTACTAACATAGACTCCTAACTTCTTACCTAACTACTTCTAGGAATGTAGACTGAGCACACAGATCCCCTTTTTGATATACTAACCAATCATTAGCTCTCAATTGACCTCCTTCTTTAACCACTTCATTTTCAGGTTGTAAAAGAAAGCCTAATGGTCACTGCCCGAGGAAAATTCTTGCCTACCTTTATGACCCTGTAGAAATTCAAGCCTGGTGACCTAGCTGGAGGGGGAGGATTGTTATTGCTTGGGTTTATAACTGGATACCCTAGAATACTGGAGGATGGAGAATTGAGAAAGATAAGGAGGATTTTGACCAGAGAGAATGTGTGGATGAGATGGAAGATGAGGAAGAGCCAGATGGGCTTCTAAGAAAAGCACATAACTTGTGATCATAATGTGATTTCTTCCTGTATAAAGACTTAAATTTGTTTTTGGAAATTTTAATATGTAACTTGTGGTTGTGAGGTAATCTTTTCTTGCATAGAAATTTTTGTCTTGGGAAGTATAAAAGGAATAAGAGAAAAATAAGAGATGTAGAAGATGTAGAAAGAAGACATCAGGGAAGATGTAGAAGGAAAATACCAGGAAAGGTGTAGAAGAAAATATCAGGAAAGATATGAAAGGAGAACAACTGGGAAGAAGAAGGAAACATCTGGGTAGAAAAACAGAACAAACAAACAAACCAACAAACAACCAGAGTAGTAACAAGCAACAGAAAGAGAAAAGTAAAATGAGGAATTAAGCTTTGGCCCTCAGAAGTTTCCTGAGAGTGTATGCAGCTGCACAGACTCCATGCCTACTCTTCAGCACCTGACATGCTGAGGGTGGGTCCCTGGCAGTGAAGTGTCTTAGTTACTGTTCTATTGCTGTGATGAAATGCCATGACCAAGGTAACTTATGAAAGGAAGCATCTAGTTGGGGCATAGCTTCCAGTTTCAGAGAGAGTCCATGATCATCATGATTCAAATCATGACAACAGGCAGGCACAACAGCGGAGCAACAGCTGAGAGCTTACATCCTGATCCACAGGCAGCAGGCACAGAGAGTGAGACTGGATCCCCGGTGGGCTTTTGAAACCTCAAAGCCCACCTCCCAGTGACACACCTCCTCCAACAAGGTCACACTTCCTAATCCTTCCTAAACAGTGCAGCAACTGGGGACCAGGTATTTAAAGATATGAGCCTCTGTGGGCCATTCTTATTTAAACCACCACATGAAATCATGAAGTGAACAGCTAGCTGGTCACAAGACATCACAGTCAGGAAATGAACGCTGCTGCTCTGTTCATCTTTACTTTCTTATTTAGTCCAGAACCCCAACTCATGGAATAGTAAGTATTCGAATTCAGGGCAGGTGTTCTTTGCTTAGTAAAACCTTTCTGAAAACACCTTCATAGACACATCCCAAGGTGTGTTTCTATGGTGATTATAAATTCTATCAAGCTGACAATGAAAATTATTACAATTCTAAAGCTTGTTGACACTTAAACATATCACTTGAAATAATTCCATCTCTATTTTCAAACACACACACACACACACACACACACACACACACACACACACACACACACACTCACACACACAGATTTTACTTAACAAGAAAGGAAAACAAATCATAGCATTTTCAGGAAAATGGATGGACCTGGAAATTATTATATTAAGAAAATAAGCTCAACTCAGTAAGACAAATGCCATATTTTGAGTTAAATAAAAATGAAAACAATTTTGTGCCAGAACATGTAATATAAGTGCCTACATTAAAAACAAACAAACCAACAAACAAAAAACCAAAGAGATTTCAAATAAACAACCTAATGTTTTCTACAACTGAAGAGCCTCAGCATCAGTCCTTGTTTTACAATTCATTGCAAGACAATGGAAAGTTTGCATAAATCCTTCAACCCTTACTTCCTTATCGTAACCGAGGGATGATTTTAGTATTTCTTTTATTAGGTTTTCCTGAGAATTAAATGTGTGAATGCATGTTAGGAACTCAGCACAATAACTAATACATAAGAAACATGAAGAAAACGTTATTTATATTGTATTTTCTGCTTAGAAAATAAGGACTGATTAATGTGTGGCAGTACAATGAAGTACACAGGAACAAGCATGAAAACACAATAAAAATGGACAAAATGCATAATTTTTATCTGTTCTTAGAATCCTTCCATAAATTGCTGATCAGACATATCTATCCCTTATATTAACATACTGATTTTTTTAAAAATCAGAGCTATAGCAAAAAGTGAGAGACACATTGTAAAAACAAACGTGTCCCTCCACACATAAGCTCTGGCCTCTCAAAATCAGAGTAAATAATTTAGTCTTGTTATCAACAGTGAAGATTCAATTTAGCAGAAACAAAAGCAAAATGCATTTCTCACTGATATCATAGAAATAGATGAGTAGAATATAAAAGAATACATGTGGAGGACTGCACTGTTAGTGTGAGATGAACAACTGATTAATTTTCATCTCCAACTTTCTTTGTACTTTAAACTCCAGGGTATTTTCCAGGGATTCTTCAGGAAAGATAGTGAAGTCCCACCTCTATCAGAGGAAATGAAGGGAAGTTTGGTTAAGAAAACTTAGTAGGCCATGGAGACTTGGGTTGTTCATTGTTCTCAATTAAGGATTATTCATAATTAGACAATAGGAAGCACAACAGAAAAATAGTGATTTCATAAGGCAGCTCCTTGATTACTCTTAGAATAATTCTCAGCATCAGGGGACAAGCTCTCTCAGGACTTTTATTTTTAGAGTCTTAAGATTTTTAGAGCCAACATATTTTTCAGAAGATGAGGAAGAGTTTTCAGAAGACAATTTATCTTTTTGGACTCAGTGCAAATGCTTATCCTTGAGGACGGAGCCCATTTATCTAACATGAGCTATTGCCTCATATATTTTCTATTATTTACAATCATGGAAAGCGGAGCCCTGAAAATGCCTTTTACCTGTGCAGTCAGGTAAGAAAGCATAACTAGAGGCAGGCTGGGAAGTTGCCCATAACTTTCCGTGTTGTGACCTGTCTCTTGCTGGTATTAGAAAAAGCTGTTTAAGATTTAGAGCTAGTTCCCCATTTTATGATGGACAGACTCCCTGTTGTGGGTCATGAAAGTACATCCTTTCCTATATTTTTACCATGATGTCCCATTCTCAATTCAATATGCCTGATTATTTAGGCATCATCTAAGGCAAATCCATAATCTCTAAATATTGAAACTGTAGTGAAAGAAATCATGTTACAGAGAGAAGTGCGACAATCAATGTTCTCTAAAACTCAGGAAAAAGTTGGTCTCTTGTTTGGTTTATTGTTTCTTGATTTTTTTCCCAATGTATTTTTGATGCAATTCTATTTTATGGGTCAGAAAAACTAAAATGATGGTTAGTGTTTAGAAGATTGTTTGCATTTTAAAAAAGTAGCAGTAAGGATTTTAAATATACTATACCTAGTTATCAAAGAAAGTTACTCTGATTGTTGGATGGAGGCCTTTTGTGGAAGTAGAGGTTAGTTCTAAAAACTCATGTCCAGAATAAAGTCAAAAGTGCCTAGACGTTTTCCTAGTTCATTTCCCTGTTGCTGGAGAGCTTCTCTTCAGGTTCCACCAAGCCCTGCAGTCCCATAATCCACGTATAAAATAATCACGCAGACACTTATATTACTTATAAACTGTATGGCCATGGCAGGCTTTTTGCTAACTGTTCTTATATCTTAAATTAACCCATTTTTATAAATCTATACCTTGCCACGTGGTTGGTGGCTTACCAGCGTCTTTACATGCTGCTTGTCCTGGCGGTGGCTGCAGTGTCTCCCCCTCCTTCCTGTTTCTCCAATTCTCCTCTCTCCTTGTCCCGCCTATACTTCCTGTCTGGTCACTGGCCATCAGTGTTTTATTTATATAGAGTGATATCCACAGAATTTCCCTTTCAATCTGGTCACTTCAAATCTACTTCCTCTCAGAACTCCAATCATTTCATCTTTCAGGAAGTGACATTGTGTAGGTCAGTCTCTTCATATTTCCTCCCAGTTTTTTTTTTTAAGATTTATTTATTATGTATAGTGTTCTGTACTGCATATATGTCTGCAAGCTGGAAGAGACCACCAGATCTCATTACAGATGGTTGTGAGCCACCATATGGTTGACTGGGAATTGAACTCAGAACCTCTGGAAGAGCAGCCAGTGCTCTTAACCTCTGAGCCATCTCTCCAGCCCCTCCTTTCAGTTCTTACTCTCCACTCATACATCCCACCTCTTAAAGTTTCTCACATATCTAGCTTGTCTTTCCTAAGATATGCAGATGCTACCCATGGCATCTATTTAAAGAAAAGGAGCAGAGAGGAAGCTGGTTCACCAATTCTATCTGCTGTTGTCAGAACAGCCGAAGGTAATGCTGGAACCTTAATAAAATATTCAAAAGAATATTTTGTGGCAGCAATCAGTATAGATTTAGTTCTAAGTCATGTCTCATAATGAACTACTTATTTATAATTCCTAGAGAGTTAAATCATTCACCGAATAAAATATTTTTTAGGTCAATTCAACAAAAAATGAAGATGAATATATTTCCTTACTAGAAGGCAGAGTTTCTTATTATGGAAAGTAAGAAGAGATAAGGAAAACACATTTTGTAATCGAGAAGAGCTGGCGACTTTGAAGAGAGTTGGTATGAAGCAGAGAGACAAGCTGCTATGGCATGATACAGCATAGATGCCAGGGACCCACTAGAGGAACTGTAATGAAGGTGAGTTCAACTTGGAATATACCTTCATAGCTGAGAGGTGAGTTTATTTGGTTACATAAAATTATTTAAAATATGCCATATGACAAAAGTAGGATTTCTGGGACCAAAGCCATAGATACTTAAGAAGAAATAATGGTGAAATAATGAAGAAACTTGAGCTCAAAGAAAGCAGGAGTTTTGTATTTAGGGACCTTAGAGAAGAAAGTCAGACCACAAGTAGACAACGTATGCAGAACAACATTTTTCATTAAAAGATGTCATTTGATTTCCTGCTTGAGGAAATGTTCAGGCTCAAAGTATAGTAGGACAATAAGTCCATCATCTACTATAGCAATAAGATTTTCAAAATATCTCAAATTAACACAGACTATGTGGTTTTGATCTCCCCTCCCACTTTCCATTAAATAGGGCTCCTTGACTTTACTGGGTATGTGGGTCAGGAAGAGTTGAATTAAACAGTATCTTCACATTAATAATCTAAGGACACGAGACTACTGCTATTTTAGAGATTTTCTACTTTTTCAGTATTTTATTCTTGACTCTTATTCTTAAAATTTTTCAAGAAGTATCTCAATAGATAAAGAAGAATGCTACAGTAGAATATTAAAAAAGCAGCATATCACAGAGCTGACTTACAGATGATAGTTTTATTAGAATGCATATTACAGGTGCTCATAGCCAGAGAAGAGCATGTGTGGACAACATGCTGCAAACCTCTCAGAGAATAAAAGTGTTAATGATGAATCTAAAATTTAAAATTAGTTAAATCACAAACCCAGGCTGTTCCAGAGCCAAACAATCTAATATTACACAGGATCTGAGGCTGGCTTATGCAAAACAACTATTCTTCTTCATCCTCCTCCTCCTTTTCTTCATTTTACCAAGAAAATTCTAATCTTGAAAGATGGATTGTTCTTGCTCCAGGCTGTGTTCCACAAACTATGTCATCTTTTCTTTTAGGTGATGCCGAATCAAACCTCTGTCGCTGAATTTTTCCTCCTGGGAGTGACCGACATACAGGAACCACAACCTTTTCTCTTTGCTGTCTTTATCACCATCTACTTTGTCAATATAACTGGGAATGGAGCCATCCTGATTATCGTCATTTCGGATCCAAGACTCCACTTACCTATGTATTTTTTCCTGGGAAACCTAGCATGTCTAGATATTTGCTACTCCACTGTGACAGTGCCGAAGATGCTGGAGAACTTCCTCTCCACAAGCAAAGCAATTTCCTTTCTGGGATGCATAACTCAGCTTCATTTTTTCCACTTTCTGGGCACCACAGAGTCCCTGCTGCTGGCAGTGATGGCATTTGATCGCTTCGTGGCAATCTGTAAACCACTTCACTATTTTGTCATCATGAATCGCCAGCTCTGTATCCTAATGGCTGTCATCATCTGGACCATTGCTTTTCTCCATGCTCTGCTTCACTCTGTAATGACATCTCGTTTGAATTTCTGTGGTTCCAACCATATTCACCATTTCTTCTGTGATGTTAAGCCATTGCTGGAACTGGCCTGTGGAGACACCAAGCTCAACCTTTGGCTGCTCAACACTGTAACAGGCACCATTGCCTCAGTCCCCTTCTTTCTGACATTTCTCTCCTATTTCTATATTATCACCTATCTTTTCCTCAAGACCCATTCTTGCAGCATGCTCCACAAAGCACTGTCCACTTGTGCCTCTCACTTTATGGTTGTTATTCTTTTTTATGCTCCTGTTATCTTTACCTACATCCGTCCCTCCTCAGGCAGCTCTCTGGATCAGGACCGGATCATCGCCATCATGTACAGTGTGGTCACTCCTGCTCTCAATCCACTCATCTACACCTTGAGAAACAAGGAAGTGAGGAGTGCATTGAATAGGAAGATGAGAAGATGGCTCCAACTTGAAGAGATCTGAAGAACTCTTCTGAGGCATAAATAACCAAGCAATGAGAAATTAAGATATATTCTTATGTATAATAGATGTACACATATATAACTGAACAAGTTGAGTAATGGAAAATATATGGGAAAATATGATCTAGTGGTATTAAACTATTAAGCAAGGGAAACTTGAACTTGTGGAGCTCTAATCATAGAATCTGTTTCCTGAATTTGCTTTTGGCATATTAGTTGGTAACTTTGACTTGTGACATACTCTAATGTGACTTGTATGTAACTGGTTATAGAAATATGTGTATACTACCCGTGTTTAGGATAAATATTAGTACTTTTGACTGTTTATCTGTCAACACATATTAGCTTGATGATTATCATTATGTTTTCTTATTTTTTTGAAGAATTATTGAAACTATGGTTACTCAGCTGGAAAAGTTAGTTGCAAATCACAAATGAGCTCCAGAAAAATTTCAGAGGCGGAACGTTTCTTTTAATCCTGATCCTGATTCTGTTACTATTAGAAGTTTTAGGGTCAGTGGGTAAGGTTTTATTTTTTAAATTTTATTATTTATTATTATTTTTGAGGCAAGATCTCCTGTACCTGGGTTGGCCTTGAATTCCTTATGTTCTTGCTTCTACCTCTCAATTGCTGGGCTTATAGGTGTACTACCTATATATAGGTGTACTACCTGCTTTATAAACAATTTAGACAATATATTTTACCAAGTCATCAACATATCATATATATATATATTATATATATATATAATCAGCATAAGGATGTTGAGATATTTTACATCTGACAGTCTAAACTCTTTAAGATCTGGGTGGTAACTTTTTCTCTTGTCCCAGCAACATTTGAAGTGTTGAGTAGCCTTAGCTACCAGTGTTTGAGTGATGGAATAAAGTCCAAGGTGAGAGTTCCTCATGTGGTTAGATATTTTTCAAACCTATTTTTATGTATTAAGTATTTTTATTTAATATTCATACATGCATATGATATGTTTGGATCTAATCCACCCCATTCCCTTTTCAATTCCTCCTCTATATATCCTTTATGTTTCCCACCAAACTTTGTGTGCTTTCTGGTAAGGAAGTAGATGTCTATAGAGAAACAGTGTTTACCGGGTATTAGACACTAGAAAGCAGTTGCACAATGAACTCACAATGGATGAGACTGCAGGCACAAGACTAGAATAAGATGAGGCCAGACAAAATTCCATGAATTCCCACCCCTGTCTGAGTATATTAGGCAGTTGATAGCTACTGGGAGAGGGAGAGTCACTTTCCTTTAGGAATGTGGGCCTGGAGAAGATACCCATGCTCTAGTGAATGAGCCCTCACATCCATGCACATAAAGGCAATATGAAATGGATTCAATGTGTATTCAGTTAGATTATTTTTCTGGAACCTTGTACTTTCCAGAGTCCATGGCCTTACCCCTTCAAACAAACAAAACAAAACAACTAAAGATATTAAAAAGAAATTGATAAATTTTATCATGGAAGGGATCTTTTTTTTTTTTTTTTACAAAAGTAAGAAGCTCTCTCCCTCAGTTCCAGAAACAGGGCCACAAGGCTGCAGAAGCTACAGCTGAGTCAATGAGGCCCTTTGCTGACAACCTAGGGCAGATCTGATGGAGATGTCACCACTGTTAAGTTCTCACAGCCAGCAAACCTTTCCTGCTGAGCCAGAACTCCTCATGACTGTAATGTAAAGATTGTAAGAGTTTCACAGAATCATTAAGTGAATGTTTGTTTTCCCACTCTCTTGTCATTTCAGTTTGGATCCAAGGAACAATGATCTCTTCTGACTAAGAGGTGGTACCCTTGTTAGATTTTCCTTTTCAAATAAGTGCTGTGCATTCTTTAGTTTACAATCTTTTCCAGGACTGGAGAGATGGTGCATTGGTTAAAAGCACTGTCTGCTCTTACAGCTGAATGTGATTCAATCCCAAGTACCACATGGTGGCTCACACTATTTGTAACTCCAGTTCCAGGGCATTTAGATGCCCTCTTCTGGCCTCCTGGATGAGTGTGGTTCATAGACATACAGGCAGACAACACCTCCCCCATTAAAACAACAACAATAAAATATTTTTGAAAATGCTTCAGATTTTGCTTTTTTTTTTAAATCATAGGGCATGCTTTTTATTTTTGTTTAAGTTGCCCAGGTTGTGTGTGTATGTGGATTTTTAAACATTAATTAATTAATTAATTAATTCTTCTCTCATATATTATATCCCAACCACAGTTCCTCTCCCCCCTTTCCCCACAGTCTCTCCCTCTGACCTCTGCTTTACCCCAGATCCACCCCTCTTCTCTTTCCCTTCAGAAAAAGGCAGGCCTCTCAGTGATATCAACCAAACATGGCATATCAACTTGCCATAAGACTAGGAGCCTCCCCTTATATTAAGGCTGGTCTAGGCAATCCAGTAGCAGGAAAAGGGTTCAATAGCATGTAAAGAGTCAGAGACAGCCCCTTCTTCCACTATTAGGAGTTGCACAAGATGACCAAGCTACACAACTATAATATACATGCAGAGGGTCTAGGTCAGACCCATGCAGGCTCCCTGATTGTTGGTTCAGTCTCTGTTTGCTCCTATGAGCCCTGGTTAGCTGATTATGTGGGGTTTCTTGTGGTGTCCCTGAACCCTCTGGTTCTTACAATTCTTCCTCCCTCTCTTCTGCAGGATTTCTTGAGGTCTGCCTAATGTTTGGCTGTGGGTCTCTACAACTGCCATCATCAGTTGCTGGATGAAGCCTCTCTATTGACATTTATGATCTAGGCTCTGGTCTATGGTCTATGAGTATAGCAGAGTGTCATTAGGAATTATTTCATTGGTTTTTCCTTGCCAGTCATGTTTGGTTCAATCCTAGGTCTCTGGGCTACCCAGCCTAGGGTTCCTGTCTCTTCAGGCAGTGTCAGGGGTGGGCTCCCTCTCATGGCATGGTTCTCAAGCTGAACCAGTTATTGGTTGGCCACTTTCACAGATTCTGCTCCACCTTTACCCCAACACATCTTGCAAGCAGGACAAATTGTAGGTCAAAGGTTTTGTGGTTAGGTTGGTGTCCCAATTCCTCCACTGGAAGCTTTGCCTGATTAAAGAAGATGGTCAGTTCAAGTTCTGTATCCCCCATTACTAGGAGTCCTAGCTAGCATTACCCTTCCAGGTGTCTTTCCAAGTAATCTCTCTCTTCATCCTTCCCCTACCTGATCCCTCCTGTTCCAGTTCACACCTGCCCTTTGTCCACCCACAATATCTATTCTATTTTCCCTTCCAAGGAGAAATAGAATAGATCTATGTGTCCCTCCTACACTCCTCCTCTTTACTGGGTCTGTGGATTGTAGCTTATTATTTACTTAAGAGTTAATATTCATGTATAAGTGAATACATACCATACCAGAAAGTATTTCTTTCTGGGTCTGGGTTATTTCACTCAGGATGATTTTTTTATAGTTCCATTAATTTGCCTGCAAATTTCATGATGTGATTTTTTTCCCCAATAACCAAGTAATACTCCATTGAGTAAATGTACCACGTTTTTTTTTTAATCTATTCTTTGGTTGAGGGACATCTACGTTGTTTCCATTTTCTGGCTATTATGAATAAAGCTGCAATGAACATGGTTGAGAAAGTGTCTTTGTGGTAGTATGGAGCATCCTTTGGGTATATGCTCATGAGTGGTATAGCTGAATCTTGAGGTAGATCCATTCCCAATTTTGTGAGGAACCACCATATTGATTTCCATAGTGGCTGCACAAGTTTGCACTCCCACCAGCAATGGAGAAGTTTTCCTCTTGTTCCACATCCTTGCCAGCATGAGCTGTAACTTGTGTTTTGATCTTAGCCGTTCTGACAGATGTAAGATGGAATCTCAGCTCATTCTGATTTTCATTCCCTGATGGCCAAGAATGTTGAACATTTATTTGTTTCTCAGCCATTTGAGATTCCTCCATTGAGAATTATTTTTAGATCTGTATCTCATTTTTAAATTGGATTATTTGGTTTGTTGATGTCTAGTTTCTTGAGTTCTTTATATATTTGGATATTAGCCATCTGTTAGATGTGGGGTTAGGGAAAATCTTTTCCCATTATGTAGGCTACAAATTTGAATGACAGTATCCTTTGCCTTACAGAAGCTTTTCAGTTTCATGAAGTCCCACTTATTAATTGTTGATCTTAGTACCTGAACTATTAGTATTCTGTTCAGAAAGTCTTCTCCTGTGCCAATGCATTCCAGGCTATTCCCACTTCCTTTTCTATCAGGTTCAGTATATCTGGCTTTATGTTGAGGTCTTTAATAAACTTGGACTTGAGTTTTATATAGAGTGATAATAAGTATGGATCTATTTGAATTTTTCTACATGCAGCCATCCAGTTTAGCCAGAACCATTTGGTAAAGATGCTGTCTTTTTTCCAGTGTGTATTTATGGATTCTTTGTTAAAAATCAGCTATCCATAGGCATGCAGATTTATGTTTGGGTCTTCAATTTGAGTCCATTGATCAATGTGTCTGTTTTTATGACAATACCATGCAGTTTTCATTACTACAGATTTTTAGTACAACTTAATATCAGGAATGGTGACACATCTGGCAGTTCTTTTATTTTCAGGATTGTATTAGTTATCCTTGTTTTTCTGATTTTCCATATGAAGTTGAGAATTATCCATTCATGATACATGAAGAATTGTGTTGTAATTTTGATGGAAATTGCATTGAATCTATAGAGTTCTTTTGGCAGCAAGGCCAATTTTACTATGTTAATGCTACCCATCCATGAGCACAGAAGATATTTCCATCTTTTCATATCTTCTTCAATATTTGAAAAAGACTTGAAGATTTTAATTATACAAGTCTTTCACTTGCTTCGTTAGAACTACTCCAAGATATTTTATATTATTTGTGGCCACTGTGAAAGGTATTGTTTCTTTGATTTCTTTTTCAGCGTGCTTATTGCTTGTATATAGGAGGGCTACTGATTTTTTTGACTTAATCTTGTGTTGGACCACTTTGGTGAAGGTGTTTCTCAGATGTAGGAGGTCCCCAGTAGAATATTTGGGCTGGCTTATTTGTACTATCATCATCTGTGGATAGTGATATTTTGATTTCTTCCTTTCCAATTTGCACCCCCTTAATCTTCTTCAGTTATCTTATTGTTCTTGTTAAGACTTTAAGTACTATATTGAATAGATATGAAGAGAGTGGCCAGCCTTGTCTTGTTCCTGATTTTAGTGAATTGTGTTGAGTTTCTCTGCATTAAATTTGATGTTGGCCATTTGCTTGCTGTAAATTATGTTTAGGTATAGCCCTTGTATGCCTAATCTCTGCAGGGCTTTTATAATGAAGGGGTGTTGGATTTTGTGAAAGGCTTTTTAAGTATCTAATGAGATGATCATGTGGTTTTCTTCTTTCAGTGTGTTTATATGTTGGATTACATTGACAGAATTTCATATGTTAAACCATCGCTGCATCTCTGGGATGAAGTCTACTTTATCACGGTGGATGATTTTTTTTTTTAAAGAAATATGCTCTTGGATTTTGTTTTGCCAGAATTTTATTGAATATTTTTGGATCAATGTTCACGAGGGAGATTGGTCTGTAATTTCCTTTTTTGCATCTTTGTGTGGTTTGGGTATCCAGGTAACTGTAAGCTCATAAATAGAATTTGGCAATGTTTCTTTAGTTCCTATTGTGTGGAACAATTTGAGGAGTATTGGTTGTATTAGCTCTTCTGTGAAATTCTGGTAGAATTCTTCACTGAAACTATCTGGCCCTGGGTTTTTTTTTTTTTTGAGACTTTTATTGACTGTTCTCTTTGTTTCTTTTTCATTGATTCCAGTCTTCAGTTTGATTATTTCTTGCTGTCTGCTCCTCTTGGGTGTGTTTATTTGTTTTTGTTGTAGAGATTTAAGGTGTGCTGTTAAGTTGCTAGTATGAGAACTCTCCAATTTCTTTATGAAGGCATTTGGTGCTATGAAGTTGCCTCTTAGCACAGCTTGTGTCCCACAACTTGTGTCCCACAGTTTTGGGTGTTGTACATTCATTTTTATTGAATTCTGGGAAGGCTCTAATTTCTTTCCTTTTTTTTCTGCGTTGACCAAGTAGTCATTCAGTAGAGAGTTGATCAGTTTCCATAAGCCTGTAGACTTTCTGTTATTTCTGTTGTTGTTGAAATCCAGCTTTAATCTATGGTGGTCTGATAGGATACAGGTTTTTTTTTCCAATTTTCTTATATCTGTTGAGACTTGCTTTGTGTCAGAGTATGTGGTCAATTTTGGAGGAAGTTTCATGAGGTGCTGAGAAGAAGGTATACTCTTTTGTGTTTGGATGAAATATTCTGTAGCTATTCATTAGGTCCATTTGTTTCATAATGTCTGTTAACTCCCTTATTTCTCCGTTTACTTTTTTTCTGGATATCCTGACCATTGGTGAGACAACACATTTAAATCTCGCATTATGTGTGAGGTTCATTGTGTGATTTAAGCTTTAGTCATGTTACTTTTACATGTGTGGGTACCCTTGCATTTAGGGCAAAGATTTCAGAATTGAGACATCATTTTGGTGGATTTTTCCTTTGTTTAATGTGAAATATCTTTCAACATCTTTTGATTAATTTTTGTTGGAAGTCTATTTTCTTAGATATTAGATATCAGCTTGTTTCTTGGGTCCATTTGCTTGGAAAATCTTTTCCCAATCCTTTACTCTAAGGTAATTCTATCTTTGATGTTGAGGTGTATTTCTTGTATGGATGGAATCTGTTTTCGTATCCATTCTGGTAATGTTTTTTTTTTTTTTTTTTTTTTTTTTTAAATTAGGGAATTGAGTCAATTGATATTGAGAGACAGTCATGACTAATGATTGTTATGTTGCTGTTGTTGGTAGTGTGTGTGTGTGCGTGTGTGTGTGTGTGTGTGTATGCTCCTTTCTTTTGGTTTTGCTGGTGTGAGATTATTTATTCCCTGCATCTTCATGGGTGTAGTTA